CCCCCCGTGGTACTTGCTGGACCGGACTGGTACTTTCTAGACTCTCCCTTGACTGCATGGCGACGACCCTACGACGCAGCGCAGTTGCACTGGGGTCCTGCTGTTTGACCTCGCCACTTGTCCTCGTCTACAACGTGGGCTTGCTTTAGTCACACCACTTGGCCACTTGCCTGCACCACTTGACCACTTGCCTGCACCACTTGACCACTTGCCAACCTTCTAGAAGGACTGCAGCTAGACTTCTAATCTACAGGTCTACAGATCGAATCCTGGCTACCTATAGACCTACGACAGACCTAATTACCACTGGCGGTTCTACAGGTCGCAGGTTCAATTCTTCGAGTTGACACAGGTAAGTTGGGGAACTAGGGATCGAGCCCTGGGATCTGCATCAGCTACTTCGAACTGGTGAATACCGTTTCAACCTCCAGCAGGGAGGCTAATTCGGGTATACTATTTTTGTAAGTGGTAGAGACGTGCAATGATGCCATCTCATTCGTCGCAGTACATTGTCTCTGAAGGCAGTGAAAGGAATATCCTACATAAATGGTCAGTTGGTCAGGATTTGCTGTCTTTCTGTTTTTGATCCCCGGATTTTATTTTGAGACAATGGATGGATTAAAAAAAAAAAAAAAAAAAAAAAAAACTTGTGATCCTACCTCGAGAAAGCTGAGAGGAGCTGTGGGGCGCTGGCCCTATAGTAGATATCTTCGACAGAGTCAATTGATTTTCAGCCATTAAGATATAATAATGGATCTTTATGGTCGATGATGATTGAATAGTAGTTTCGTGGATGAGCGTATCACGCTGAGGCCAGTGGGGTGTCCTAGGAAGAGGGGAAATAATGACAGCTTTTTTGGTCTGACAATCAGGTATTCCCTTTCTTACAGTTTCTTTCTTTTTTTCAGATGGAACATATATTACTATAGCCTTGTGAGCTGAAATAATGATACGCCAGGTGTTTCCTCCTGGGACTAAGAAGATGCCCTGCCAGCCAGTTGTGCTACCTCCTGTTTGTTTAAGGGGCCACCTACAGATGTCGTTCGTTGGTTCTCTGAAATATCAGACAACCTGTCTGGTTCCGTCTGAGCAGCATGGGAAATTCATGGTTCTCCTATGCTCTCAGATTTGTGCTGGACATTCCAGTGAGGGGGTCTATTCTGCGTGTGTGTGTGTGTGTGTGTGTGTGTGTGTGTGTGTGTGTGTGTGCTGTCTCTTATACACATCTAGATGTGTATAAGAGACAGGGCCCACACCGCGGTCCGCCTCCTCTAGCCCCCACTCAATCTGATCGTAGGGAATCTCATCCACACTACCCTCATAGGCTATCCTTGGTCTTTAC